TTTTTAAAAGCAAGTACATGTGAATTAATTTTAGTTCAAGATGTTTCATATCTCCAATGTATTTGGAGACTAATAGAAGTACCTTGGAATAGACTAAGCAATGGGAAATGATACGTGTTTTACAACCATGTGATCAACTCACAGCCTCAGGTCTGAGTGATCCACACAGGGTAGATGCTGCAGAATCTGTCTGTATCCCAGCTCCCACAGTTACCACCTGGCGAAGGTCTTTTCTGCACAAAAAGCTGCTCACCAGTATTTAAAGGAGACAACAGTTCATTTTTGAAAACAAAACTGTGAATTATAATTTTTAAACTTTCCTGTGTGTGCTTTAGTATGTGAGCATTCATGTGTGTGTGTCAATACACCTGTGGATGTGAGTGTGGATGTATGTGTGCAGGCATGTGGAGCCCAGAAAACAACCTTAGGTGCTATCCCCCAGTCGCCATTTTCCTTGTTGTTTGAAACCGGACCTCTCATTAGCCTAAATCTCACCAAGCAGACTAGAGTGGGCAGTGAATGAACCTCAGGAATCCATTTGTTTCTATCTCCTCAACATTGGGAATCCAAGCATATGCCACCACACTCTGCTTTTTACTTGGGTTCTAGGGAATCGAACCCAGATCCTTATGTTTGCATGGCAGGCACTTTACTGATTGAGCTGTAGCCCAACTCTTGTCTTTTTAATTTGATAAAGAAAATCACTGGTGTTTTAAATTCTCTTCTCTAATCACAGGAGAAATCTAAATGAAATTCATAATGGTAAAACATAATTTTTCCCAAAACTTCCTTCCAAAATTAAAGAAGCATATTACTGTCAATCTCACTTCAGCTCTCTTCCAAAAACAGCATGGAACTTCTCAAATGCACTTCTGTGGGAGCCCCCGCTGCTTCAGGATGATGAGTCTATGCACCAGACTCATTCAGGCAGCAGCAATAGAAAGCCAAAGCATCATTCACCGATCAACAGGCAGCAGAATCTCTTCTGCTGATGTTGACTGCTGTTCATCTGTCAAAGCCACTTTCCTGAAGCATGTGCTATTAAATCTGTCATAGGAAAATTAGTCTCTGTGCTTTTGGAACCATTTCTGAATTTTAAGAACAGGTGACAGAATTTTATATCAGCGCAAGTGTCTTTGGGGGAATTCAACACAGAATTAACAGCACCATGGATTAAGGGTTTGTGTGTTTCCCATACTTTTGTCTTTGAGGAAACTTTGCAGCTTGTCAAAGCTTGACCTAAAAAAGACAAGATCTAGAGATAGTAACCCAGGCAAAAGCCATGGCCTCACATGGCTTCTCTTCCCCAGGTAAGTGTCTGGAATAAGATTTCTTCATCGCTCCCAGAAAAGAAAGACAGGAAGAGCACATATACAAAAGATGGGTGTCCCTTCATCTATTCAAATAAAATATAGAAAGATGTAGGTTAAGCTTTCTCTACAGAGAGATTTTTCATAATGTTGAATATCACAGCTGGCTGCTTTGAAAGTTCCCACAAGGTTAAATCTACCTTGATGAATTTACTGCAGCCCTAAGTGTGGTCTCAGGCTGGTAGGTTAAGAGACTTGATTTTATTGAGTACATTGAAGTAGCTCTGTCATCCCTCAGAGGCAAACTTGCCTTAATCAAGTTCACAGAGATTGAAAGCTTGTTTATTACTGTATAATGAGAAGCAAGTATACGGGAAGCCAGGTTATTAGAGGGCTTCACAAAGAGCATAGAAGCTGAACACAGGATCATAAAAGAATCTTCCAGTGCAAGGTACTTTGGCCTCTCAAACCAGATTAGGACCAGCTCTGGTAGTTGATCTATACTGTCAGTCTGTTGTGCCAAAGTCTTCCCTCCCTGGACAGTGTTTGCATGGCTCAGCATTGATTTGGGGGTAGGGTGAACTCTCTTTTGTCTTTGTTGTCATTGCTGGTCAATTGCTTCTACATTTCAGGAAAACATCTCAGGTTTTATTTGTTAGCAACCACAGTAAAGAACCCTACCTATTATGTTCAACTCCCAAGTCCAAATGATGGCTGTTCAGTATATGCTGTGTGTCAGCATGGGGCTTACTTAACTATAACTCCCAGATACTCACAACAGCAATTATATTAATAATCAACTGATGTTGAAGGCTGTGGTGGTTTGAATAAGAGTGACCTTCATAGGCTCATATACTTGAATGCTTAGTCATCAGGAGGTGGTACTACTTGAGAGGGATTAAGAGGTATAGTCTTGTTGGAGGAAGTGTGTCACTGGGGGCAAGCTTTGGGGTTTCAAAAGCCTAAGCCAGTACCAGTGTCTCTCTTCCTATTGCCTACTCTCAGCTACTTCTCCAGCACCATGTCTGCTTGCATGCCACCATGCTACCCACCATTATGACAATGGATTTAACCTCTGAAACTGTAAGCAAGTCCCAACTAAATGCTTTCCTTTATAAGAGTTGCCACAGTCATGGTGTCTTTTCACAGCAGTAGAACAATGACTAAGACAAAGGTTTGGTCCCCAGTGTACTGTTCAGAGGTAGAGCTTTGGAGAAATAATTTGATCATAAGAGCTCCAGCCTAATTAACCAATTAATTCATTCAGAGATTCAAAATTTGATGAAAGTATTGGAAAGCAGTAGAAACTAGGTGGTCCAAATGGAGGAAGTAGATCAGTAGATCAGTAAGAAACATGCCCTGAGGGTCTACCTTCCCCCGTCCCTTTTCTCTCTCTCTCTCTCTCTCTCTCTCTCTCTCTCTCTCTCTCTCTCTCTCTCTGTTTCCTGCTCTCCACAAAGTGAGCAGGTTTGTTCCTGTACATACTTCCACCATGATATTCTGTCTCACCACACACACAGGCCCAGAAACTACAGAGTCAAGTGACCAAGGATCAAAACCAGGAGCTAAAATAAATCCTTCATCCCTTAAGTTTTCTCCCTAAGCATTTTGTCACAGTGATAAAAAATGATTAATATACATATAAATACATTCATGATATTTATATTAACTCATATTTGAGCAAAATCATACAAATTTCTATTTTATAATAACATATTGAGGTTCTTGTGCAGTTTATTAAATACTATACTGAAAGTGAGATGCAGTATAGTTGTGTGGACATGCTGGCTCACAATTATGAAGTTAAAACATTGTAGTTGTATCATACCAAGACAGAATCCATCAGTACTTCCAACTCCCAACTATTATTAAGTATTGATAGTAAGGGATCTACTATGGTAAAAACTTCAAAGGCAATAAATGATAGCATATAATCAAAAATGTAACCCAAGTTTTTAAAGGTAAAGAATCCCTCATTATAGTAGAAGTGCCTTCAAGAAGAAAGCAGAATGTACTAGACTTTTAAGAAAGGATGTGATAAAACATCATAAGTGAAATGGACTAAGGACAAAATCCTGGAAGTATATAAATATAGTAGACACTTAAAAGTGTGTACTGAATAAATGAATGAGACAGAGTACACATAGGTGAGTGTAAGACTCACTTCGTGGTATGGGCAAGAGTGGGGGAGATCCTGAAATCTAGGAAGATGTGATATCTTACTAAGTATACCCAAAACCTGGAAATTCATTCAGAATAATTACTTTCCTGGTTCCTTTATAATCTGAAAGGTAAGCACTGTTCTAGTGGCATAATTCCATCTCAGGAAAGTCTACTTAAAACACACAATACTCAATATGAAACTTCACATTATACCTAATGAGCTGATCTGAGTAGACAGTTTTATCTAAGAACCATTCACCTATGGTTACACTGTCTATTCATCTCTCCAAAAAACATGTTTTAATTTTAAAATTATGAAGGGAAAGAGAGACCCATTCATTTTAATTATCTGTCTTTCCCTTTATTATATTTCTCATTACCAAAAAGAAACATTGAGTGCTTCTTATTTGTCATGCATGTGCTAAGCATAAAGCTTGATGGTAGGGAAAACTGTTAGGATGTATACCTAATGGAAAAAAACTAGATAAGAAGGAGTAAGGAAATAGAAACACACAAGAGCAAAACTGCAGAGCTGATATAAAGTAATGGAATAAGATTCAGTGAAGGAGGGAAATAGAAAGTAGTGACCTGAGGCAGCTCCTCTGAATGGAAGACACTGAGAAAAAGAGCCAAATGAAACAAAGAAGACAGCTCTATGACGTGTGTATATGCATGTCTTTGTAGGAAGATAGTGTGTGAACATGTATGTGTATCTACTGCTTGGCGGCGGGGGGGCTGTGGGAAGCTTGTGCTTCAGGTACAAGTAGCAGTGAATGAGAAGGTTCTAAGACAATTAAGTCCTTCATCCACTAAAGACCTTGGACAGAGAGCAGTTTGCCTAGAGAGTGTTGGGTTGAAGGACAGGGGACATGGAAATAGATGAACTTATTATAATTTATGAGACACAGCTCAAAAAGCCCTTTCTATGCTAGAATTTGAGTTTTACTCAGAGTGAATAGGATGGTGACAGCTTTATGCTTTGAAAAATTACCTTCATCATCTGGATGAAAACCAGGCTTGAAGGATCTGAAGTAGGAGTGCAGCGGCGACAGATGCGTAGCTTTGGGGAGAGCTAAAGGTGCCTTAGACTGATGAGTGGCAGTTAGAAATGGTGTCTGTAAGGTATAATGTGAGTCCTGTGCCTTAAGTGTGCAGTGTCTTCAATAATAGGGGCTTACCTTCAACCTCTGAGGGTCAATGAAAGGCTGTGTCAATAGTCTATATTGTTTTGGGAGTCACTTGAACTACCCTGATCAACACATATAAGGAAGTTTCTCCAGTCTGCTGCTGGTGGGGAGCACTGTCAGTTCAAATAGCATTAACTTCACTTAACGTATATTAGTATATACTATTATAAACAATTACATGTTATAATACATAATATACACATCATATATTAAAATATTAATGTCTATATTATAATATATAATATCATATAGCATTGTATAGTAACACATTAGTAACATACAACAATATTTTAATGTGTTAATATATAATATGTACAAACATATACATGTACACACTTACGTGTATTGCCTATAATTTTAGTTATATATAAAACAGTGTGATTCCTTGGGGCCACATCAAACCATTTGGTGTTATTTGTCCCTTGTTCTTTCTTCTTTGTTGACCTCTTTCCGTACAAGACTTGGATGATTCAAGCCAGAGCTAACTGGAAAGCTTCCTTTCTGTGGTCTCACTTCCCATGGTACCAGAAAATATCATGCAAGCTGCCAAGGGAGAGAAGAAATTAGTATTCCTATCCAGCTGCCACACCTATGAACCACAACAATGACTAGCATGGCAGTGAAGGAACACTGACTGGCACTCACCTGGTGGTGTGGTAACCAGTAACTCTCTAACTGGACTTAAGGCCCACACAATAGGAGGGAAATCATGCCTGGGGCTAGACACTTAACCAACTTCTCAGAGTTAGCAAAGTCACAAGTATTAGAAAAGAATCTGATAGGACAACTTGGATAACCAGCAAAATTCCTTACTGCCTTCTAAATCTTATCCTTATACCCACAGATAAGTACAGCTGCCACCCCTCATCAAAGAAGCCTCTGCTGTGGATGATTGATTGATAAATAAAACACTGATTAGCCAGTAGCCAGGCAGGAAGTATAGGCAGGAGAAAGAGAGAGGAGAAGTCTGGGAAGTGGAAGGCTGAGGGGAGGAGACACCAGCCTGCCATCTAGGGAGCAGCATGTAAAGGCAGCAGGTAAAGCCATGGAACATGTGGCAACATACAGATTAACAGAAATGGGCTGAGTTTAAGTGTAAGAGCTAGTCAGTGGTAGGCCTGAGCTAATGGCCGAGCAGTTTAATTAATATGAGCTTCTGAGTGATTATTTTATAAGCGATTGTGGGGTCCATGGGGCTGGGCAGGACTGGAGAAAACTCCAGCTACAAGCCTCTCTTTGTAACAAATGGAGACCATCATAGAAAACCACAACAGGACACAGTGCAGAGATCAAAGGATCATGGGGAGCCCAGCCCAAAGGGATACATCTACATCACAGCTCTAGCATGTATGGTTCAAGGAACATCACAGAAGAGGGAAGGAAAGACTGTAAGAGTCTAATACCAGGAAGTCGAATGTGAAACAGTCTCACGTTTAAGCAGTCCTAGGTAAGAGAGAGTTGAGGAGCCCAGTCCCAATGGCTACATCTACAAAACATTCACACACCTAAGGCTCAGGGAACATTTCAGAAAAAGAAGAAAAAAGATTGCGGGCACCAGAGGATAGAGAGTTTGCTGTGAGATTGTGTATCCTAGTAGCATCAAGAGCTATATCCATAAAGTCTCATGAATGTGACCACACGAACATGAGCTTAATAAGGATGACACCAATGAACATGCCAGCCTGGACAGCTTTTGCATCTATGGGTAAAGAACATCACAGAAGAAGAGGAAGCAGTAGTCTGTGTCAGTACTATAAAACACTTTCTTCTAGAAAATGGCTGCGTAAACAAGACAGGACCCTACCCTTAGACAAAGAACTAAATGCAACTAATGACTGCTACAAGAGGCAGCAGCAGGGCTGAGCTCTCTCATTGCTTATCTTGAAAGGAGCAATGTGGGCAGTACTGAAGGCTGAGGATTCCATATGGAGTAAAAGAGAAGAGCGAGCATGTGAGGTTGGAGCTAAGGTCCGTGTGTTTGATAACAGCTGAATGACCTAGCACTAGAAAGAAGTCTCAGAAAATGGTAGAAGCTCTTGTTGTGTGAACTAGGTACTACATCCTCAGCCAGGCATTTGTGGGCAAAAGTGAAAACCACAGGAATAAGACTTAAAGTATAATTTTGGGAATCCAGAAATGAGAGCCCACACTAGACAATATGCTCCTAACTGTGACCGTCACTGCAGGAGACGTTGAGGAGCCGCTTCCACAATACCTGCCATGAACAGGAATGACAAACAAATCCACAATGAGAGATAAATCATTGTGTTCTAAGGCATGAGAGAGGAATTGCGTTCAGAGCACCACGTTAAATACCACCTGGAAACTAGCTTTCCTTCAGGAATTTGAAGACAGACTATGTATAGGCAGGACATGTGGTACAGGAAAAGCAAAAGGAAAACACAAGTCATTTTTTTATTTCTTTTAAAGTATTTATTTATTGTCTGTTTGTTTATTAGGGGGAAGGTTGCCACAATGTATACATGGAGGTTAGAGGACAAAGAACAACTACAACTTTGTAGACTTGATTCTCTCCCCTCACTTCCGTCTTTATGTGGGTTCTGAGCATCCAGCTAAGGTCACCAGGCTTATGTGGCAAGTGTCTTCACAAGTTTACAAGCTTTCTTATTGCTGTTATTTTATGCCTAGGAAAGAGTGGCCTAAGGAAAAGGGAGAGAGTTTTCTTCTTCACTGTAACTGGCATTAATGAAGAGACTTAAATATAATCCTGGTGTCAATCACTATAAATTCAAATCAAATTGGGAAAACATGTGTGAACTCTGATTATCTGGGACATTCTAACTGGTGAGTTCACACCATTGTTGTTTAAAAATCAATTTCATGAGTGAGTGCCTATTTGCTAACACCCTCACCTTATCTCAGAAAGCAAAGATATGAATATATGATATGCCTGGAGAATTCTCAAGACTATGTCACATGACTACAGGATAAGCAGTCCAGAAGAGAGCAAAGATAGACAGAAGCAGAGGGGGCGGGGGCGGTGTTTGGAAAGAAATCCAATGGCTGGGTGCCATAAAGATGAACAGACCAAACATAGAGCTGAACCAGTAAAAACCAAAACAACAATTTACAAAACGTTTAAAAGCCACATGGCATCCTTCCAACTTCTCTAACAAAGTAATTTGCCTTTATAATAAGAACTACCTCAGCTGTGATTCTGGGAAAGTTGAATCTCAGAGGAAGTTGCTCAAGATCAAATAGGTTATTAAAGGAGGGATGAAATGATGCTAACACTCTTGAATTCTGTCTGTCTCCTTGTTCTCACCCAAAGGCTAAGCAGATTGTGTGAGTCCTGCGCAAACTCTCAATCCCAGAGTAAGTTTAAAACTATGACACAGCAGAAGATAGACCTCATTTCTCTATGTAAAAATTGTCTTTCCCCAACACCAATGATTTTTTTCAACATTATAAATTATTACCATATTCCACAGAGGCCATACTCATGAGGCTAGACATGAACTATCAATTTAATATCTTCTGACTAAAAATGGGTAGTTTTTGTTGTTTGGGGGGATTTTTTTTCTTTTTACTTTGAGTCCACTGGGTTTGGACACAGCTCCCTTGTGGGGAAACATAATTCAGAGCCTCACAGCTGCAAAGGGGTGTGAGACAGGAGGGGCCATGGGGTTAAGAGGCAGGAGGAAAGGATATCACTCAAAGTGTATTGGATGTTTCCAGATGCATGTGTGGTGTGGGTGGAAAGACAGGAAATATTGAGCTTGAGCGTGGATGTTCTCAGAACACTGCTCTACTAAAAATGGGCAGAACCCTGAGATCAAAACCTCTATAGTATCATCAACCATCAAGAGTATCCATCTTTGAGAGGAAATGCAGAAATGGTGCTCATGAATTCTGCTTCACTGCTTCTACTACTTAAAAAAAGAAAAAGAACAAAAGAAAAGTGAAAGCTTTTTCTGCACCTTTTCTTTACAGATTAGAAGCAGTGTGTCATATTTTAATCTCTATGGGTGGTGCTATGAAAGCATAGACAACTGAAAGCAGTATTAACCACAAATGCCACCAGAATCTTCCCTCATGTACTCTCTTCCATTAAAGCAGAACCAGAAACAGTTGCCGTTTCTAGGGATGTCAGATTGCAAAGGTCATATTATGTCACATGGAGCTGTCATGGAATGGCTGCCTACATATACGCATCTTTCCACCTGCCCATCACAGCTGAAGATGAGGGCTTTCAGTGAACTGAGACACAGATAACCAAAGAATTCCACATCCTATCTTCAAGGACCACACTATTCCAGCGGTAGCTGTGAAAATTGTTTTCTTTTGGTTTATTTGTTAATTTGTTTGCAGAATGCCCTGTGGGAAATAAATTGCTGAAAAAGCAATTGATAAAAATCTCTGGAATGATAACAAGCCCTAAGGATTGTTTTTCTTTATTATTGTTATTTTGTTTTTGCCTACATATGAAAGTTTCTTAAATTTTCTAAAGCTTTTAAAATCTCTAGACATGTATGTCAGTCAGTCTCAACACAGAATAATATAAGATAAAGTCTGGAACAGGACTCTCCAAAAGAACCAGAAAATGTAAATGAAATATGGAAATGAGTAGAGATCTACCCACCCAACCTTGCAGAAATCAGTTTCTGACAAACGGTAATTGAAAGTGTAGACACTCACATCAGCACACTGTTATAATATGCCTCACTTACAGCACAGCTCTACCTGGGTTAGCCATTTGGTAACATCATTCTCATTTCACAAATAACTCTATTTCAAACAAGTACTACAGACTTTCTAAGGTTTGGAATGTATGCCAGCTAGACATGTCAAAGAGATATGAAAAAGAAAGAGTGCGTTGTCAATATCCTTCTGTCTTTTCACAATTCCTAAATTTCTGAATATTGCCACAATAATCCAGGACGAACATAATAGCTTAGTCACAAAACCAGTGGCCAGAAGGAATGTTCTTGGGACAGAATAGCTTCCCAACTTCAGAATTCTGCCTTAAGTTAGGGTCACTGGGTATGAAAAGAAGAAGGAGGAGCAGGAGGAGGAAAAGGAAGAAGGAGAAGGAGAAGAAGGAGGAGGAAGAAGAAGAAAAAAAGAGAAAGAAAAAGTTTTTCAAGTTTCCATGAACTACTTTTTTGATTGTTTTTTAGAAACTATTTGGTAACTATATAATCCTCTAAAATGAAATTTTAAAAGTTCAAAGGAGCTTTTGAAATCAGACACCAAAAGGACATTTTGAATCCTCTAAAATTTTAAGGTGGCTATTTTTGAATTGTGCTCATTAATACATATTCTTCTACTAAAAATGGAGCAGCCATGGTTGAACTAATATTTAAGTGATCTAACAACCCGGAAGTCTGGGAATTTCTAGCCTTTGCTTTCATCTCTGGACAAAACTATAAGCTTTCATTAAAATGAAAATCAAACTGAATAGATTGGACACATTCAAGCTGTGAACATCAACCATTTGTAGAAACCCAGGGGAGATCTGTCTCTGTGGGACTTTGTGAGTGGGAGAAGGAAGCAGATGATCAGATGAGTGGACAGATGTT